GGGAAGTCAAAACCTTTAACTAACTTTACCTGGATTCTGGTCTGACTATAGTTTATGTAAAGAAATATCTGGACTTGTTTAAGACTATTTTCCTGCAGCCAAACATTATCAAAAGAGTTTCTTTATCACCCTGGAGCACAGTGTCGTCTCCCACATCGGCTCTAGAAGAATTACAAATAAAAAGGGTAGTTTGAGCCTTTAATTGCACAACAGAGAGTAATGCATAGCTCCTTCCCCTTTTCATTTACATGTACCACAGATAATGTCACGTGGTCTCCATTAGAGGAGCACAGAGGTGTTAATAGCGCTATGACAGTTAGCTCGGCCCTTATTTGCAGCTCTACATTGCCTGGAAAAGGTGAGATGACTGTTTCTAAGTCTTTCAGTGGTGTTTGAGAGAGAAATAGAGATTTCATATCTTAATTTTTGGATCTGCTTTTATTTATTTTACCTTAATTTACAATCTGCTGCAGCTTGCAGCTTGTCTAAAGTTGCAAAAACATTTATCTTTGTCTGACTGCCCCATGGTTTTTCACACTCAGGAGGACTTGGGAGGACAAAGTCTTTTTTTTTTTGCTTTCTGAGAAAGGCAGCTTGGTCAGCAGTCAAAAAAATGTGCATTATATAACCATGTCAAACCAATATTAAGGTCAAACCCATAAGCAATGGAGAAAACAATCTACCATGCAGTGGAAAACTTGTGACCATCAGCTGTTTTAAGTGTGAGCTACTCAGTGCACAGATTCAAGAAATGCCTCCAAAGATAATTACACTGTGTACTGCATATATGCTGTAAATAAGCAAGAGACTGACTTGTTTCTTTGTGTTGAGTGCTGCTTTATCTCAGTTGCAAAATAACACAAGAAATATGGGCAACTTTAGCCAGAGGTCCATTTTATGCAGAAGGCACAGCATTATTTGCGACAGAGTGGATATTCATGCCACAGAGTCCACCAAGTCGAAAGATCCAATCATTTTACTGTTTTTACTTCTCTTGGGAATTGGGAAACTATGTTGATAAAAACTTATCTTTGCTTCACAGAATAACAGTGTATTGGATATTCTATATAAAAAAGAAAAGACTATCTGTGCTAAGGGGTGCTCGGGCGCCTGACTCCTCTGTGCTCCCTTGTTCAGTTTCCTGTAGCATATTGATCTTTTTCTAGGATTGTTTGTGGGACTGGGTGAGCTCTAAGGATCACCCAGAAAATTAACACATAATAAAATAAGTCAACTTAGTCATATATAATGAGTTTTTATAGTGAAAATACCACCTCTTCACTCTGGCAGCCCCTGGTTCAGACTTTTAGTCACCCAGAGCTCCTCCATGGCTGTTTGACATGACTACTGGCAGCTGGAAAAATCCTTCCTCTAACCTTGGCTAGGCGGCAGGCGGGGCTGATTTGCAGACCGTACTTTGACAACACAGGGTAGAGAAGCAGAAATAACAACAGGAGGGCTGTAGGCAGCAGAGGGTCATGCTACTTGTGTTTGACACAGCATGGGTAATGCTTTTCTTTTTCAGCTGTATTAGCTGTCACTGCTCATGCTAACTACCTGGATTGTCCTCCATTAATCCAGAAACTCTGCCATTGCTGCCCTAGAACATAAATTTTGTTACTAACAGTGGGACAACCTATGTGAAAAATGTATCTGTCCTGCTGCTGTAAATATTAATACGACATTATTTACTCCTGTTTGAATAGTGTTTACTAAAATCTACAGTGCCCCGCTGTTTATTGAGCCTTAAAAAACTGCATGTTAGTGATTTGTTTATATGGTTTTGAGGTGGAGAGCCTCAGACCAGGTGAGGACGGATCAACATACTGTATTGTTGCTCTAGTCATTATTCTGGTTGCTTGTTTAAAAAATGATTAACATCTGTCTACTGTATTTTCCCTCCTAACAATCCACAATACTGTATGTGCACAAATAAGCTGCACACTTAAATGTAACTAACGAGCACAGATAAATTGCCATCTATAATGAGTTCAAAACAACCCACGCTGGAGGGTAAGCTGGGTTTGGGGTGAAGGGTTGCAGGGTCCACCTTTACTGTAGCTCATTGTGTCCTCTATTTTTATTGTCTTTTTTAACTCAGGCAAGGCGACACAGATGAATGAAATATGAACATCTTTAGGCGCAGAAGCTGAGAGTATTAGCCACAGATGAGGCTGGCGCTTCAGATCTGATACTTTGAACAATTCTTTCTCTGAAATATCCTGAAGTATTTGAGCTGTCAGGAATAATAGTAGTGCAAATTTGTACTGAAGTTGCACTCTACATCCCCTGTCTAACTCAATGCCCTATAAATGTCAGTTTTAGTGTAAAGTATCACATGGTGCGTGAGGATGAATATGTAGGCTCTCTATTCTAATATCAAGCTAATCTTTTACAGCATGAGCAATACAGATGCTTTTGAATAAAATAAAAGCAGTGACTCATAATTATTTAATATTACTACAGTGTGATTTCAGTGTTTATTTGCATTTGTAAAATATTCAGCACTGATTACAATGTATGAATTTCTATGTTTGATTTTAATAGTCGATATTTTGTTAGGACATTGGTGTCTGCAGACAGCTTTTGCTGTTGTGATATGTTTAGAGAGGCAAGCTGTTAAATAAACTGCACAAATACTGAGGGAGTATAAGCTCATTCAGTAGCAGTGATGCAGTCAAGGGCAGCGGTCATTCATCTCAGGCTGATCTCCTGATAGAACATGATGCCAAATGCAGACATCCCTTTGGCTTAGGGCATTTTGTGCTATAGGCAGGAGTTTGATGCTGGGTTGAGAGGACAGGACAGCAGCAAAGTGGATGCTTGGAGAAATTCCAGGGATTAAACTCATGAATCTAACAGCAGTCTGTGGTCATTATGACACAAACACTGTACGGGCGGTTACACATTCACAATGTGGGGTCTTTGGTTTGGAAAAAAAGACCAAATTAAAAACATAAAACCATAAATGCATGCAAACTTTCCTTCCATCTCTCTGCTGCACAATGTTTTTATTAGACCTGACATATGTTTTGTGGTTCTGTCTCACTAAAACCGTTAAGTGTTTAGCAAATTATGAAACACAGATGATAAAAGAAAAGATATTTCAGCATTTAAGAGGCCTTTTTCTCTTATAGGAAACATGATTATTTCCATAAAATCTTGAAAATGATTGTAAAATCACATTAAAATGTTAACAAAGTAGTTGAGGAGTAGAGATGCTAAACATAATAATGCCATTATTTCAAGAAATTCTACTTTATGTGAAACTGCTTGTATCATACAATACCTTGACTATAATAAAATATTTTGCTTGGCCAAACTGACATATCTCTGTTTAACACTGTTAATTCCACTCTGATATTTACACTCTGGCTAGACCGGATTCCTCTTAAAGGTCAACACCGGCTTGGAGGTTGGGCTCACACAAACACGCGTGTATTATGACTTTGATGTCATGGGATAATTAGAAAAGCATTATGATATAATGCTTTGGTTCAATGTCAGCCAATATCCTTTGTTTATATCTCATGTAATCCACCAAAATGCACTCTAAGCATCCTTAAGGCATTAAAAATATTGTTAGAAAAATGGCTTAAAGTGGTTGCACCACCTTTTTATCATGTGTTTAATCCAACAGTGTCTGCACTTCACACTCTTATTCACATTGCTACAAACCTGACAACCATATGCAGCTCTTCAGTTGGTATGTATCACATCAGATGTTACAAATAGGTAGCCTCAGTTTAACCACAGACTACACAGGAATACTTCAACCAAACTTTGATTTAACAGACTGAGGAACAAGAGTCCTGAAGTCTGTGGGACTCTAAATCTGCCTTTTGACAGCAAAAGCTAATATTTTTCAAATATTTCATATTTTGAAATCCTGACTCAAGCATTTCACCCCCACTCTTTGCATGGATGCGTAGCTACTGTATTTAGAAGACTGCGGCCTTATGGTCAACAGGAAGACAACTATTATGAAGCTTTCATGTTAAATCTGGGCTGTGCAACAAGTTAGCATAGCATAGTCAAGCCAAGTCACTTGCCTTGGTGCATTCAAACATCAATTAATATTAGTAGCTCGATTATGAAATATGAAAAAAAAATTATGAGCATGCTGATTTTTCCACATGGTTCGTCAAGCCTAAGCACACTAACAGAAAATGGCATGTGTGGAAGAGCTTACAGTATTACACGAGCATACACACACAGATAACATTTGAGGGTTTACAGTGTATAATCTGTTCAAGGCAGGGCACTGGATAAAGCATTTAGGAGCTGCATTAGTTTGATTACTTTAAAATCCAACTGTTTGCAGGCCTGGTCAGAAATCTGATTTCCATCTAACCTTCTCCACAAAGGAGTCTGAGATCACAAGCAGTCCTAAACATCACTGAACCATGTTAAATAGATTAACTTTTCACTTGTAAGTTACAACCTTAGCCTTTTGATTACACTCATGACCTAATATACACGTCTGAACCACTTCAGAGTAGCTCATGATGACGGTATTAAATATGAGCCTTCTACATTGTTGTCTGTGAGGTTTTTCCCTGGTGGACCTCCATTTCTGCCAAAAACATGTTGTTACAGTATTTAATATTTTTGTATAAATGAATATAACAGGTCAAATTAAATATGTAAAGCATTTATATTACAAAAATAATGAAATTGAACAGTATTAACTCTGTAGCCATCAAAGAATGGCATTAAGTCACTGAAAGGCTCTTTAACAAGGTAGGAAACCCAGATACTATGCATTTATAATGTGATTGGATCTTTCGCCTGTCAATCATTTTCTTAAAGAATGCCCCTACCTTGAGCAGCACTGAGAAGGTTGTCATCAAAGAGCTGATCAGCTGACACACAGTTTGACATGCTTATTGACCAATGGGAGAGCTACATGCAGGTAAATGGGGGCGTTTTCTTTATGGGTAAATCCAACTGAACATGACAATATGGAGTCTCTTAGCATTAGCAGAGGAAACTACTTCTCTATGACAGCATGTTAGTTGGACTAATGCTTGAGTGGATTTTATTCATTGGAGTCCTGTGATAAAAACAGTCAGCTGTGGAGCTAACGTACTGTTGTGTTGTGTACAGGGACTCTACAGTTCTCTAACAGTGTGTGGCATGTTGTAGTTGTGGTGGAATGAGGTTTGTGTGCTGTCTCACAGGTGGGACAGTGTACCTTAACAGGAGAATTTTGAGTCATGTAGACAGGTAGTACAGCAATTGTCCAAAGGGCAGAAGAATATGCTTATTGACCAATGGGAGAGCTACATGCAGGTAAATGGGGGCTACTGATGTGATGTGGTGTGGTAAACTTGAACTGTATTTTAGACCCAAAGTAGGCTAAAAGGTGTAGCAGCGAGTGCTTAGATTTCATTGGTGGACTTTTTTTTGTTTTTATATATCATCCCGCTCTTCTCCTTAATCTTGTTATAAATGTTGCACTTTATGACCTTCATGAGGGTTAGGATTCATGGCTGTTGTGTTAGTTTGAGCTAGGTGTACTTAATAAAGTGCATTTGATACTGTAGTGTGCCTACTGGTACTATTACCAGTAACAATAATAGCAGTAGTCGTGGCAGTTGCAGTAGCATTAGTATTTTTGTCATAAGGTTTTTACAAGTGGAAGCAGAAGGCTGTATTAGTTGGAGCGGTCTAATGGAAGCACATGTCAGGATGCACGTTTATCCAGCTACATACAAGTTTAGTCATTTTATGGCCATAGTTGCAGCAGCATTATTTATTTAATTAGTTCATAAAGTTGATTGCCGTTTTTCAAGTACACCTGAACTAGGTTTGCAACTTCCTTTGATGTACCAGGAAAAGAGTGAGGAAATATCAGAAATTGGGAACAGTATTGTAGCGTCCCGCAGGACACAAGGAAGAGAACCCTGAGTGCCGACGAATAGTCGCTTTTTTATTAATTCTACACAACCGGTTACTGTTGGCCGTAACCACGCCAAAACAACAGCTCAACAACAATAATAAAGAAAAACAGCCTGCTAACACTCTCTGTAGCTCAAAATCCCCCACACTTCACTCCCTCCCGCTCTCACACCTCTTAACCCCTGAAGCTCCACACCCATCAAGTAACCATAACAATTTAGAACAT